GGGGGGGGGGATTGATTTTGAATTGGGAGCCCATGGTGGGAAAAATTATACACCGGTGCCGACACTTTGGGAGATAAAGTGGGGTGTTGGTTTAGATGTCGTGGGCCTGGGCCGTGTTTTGTGTGTCATTTTGTGTGTTTTTTTGTGTGTCTTTGCGTGGCGGATTTGCTAAGATGAATGAAAACCAGCGTACGGGCCAAAAAAACAGAGTCTGTGCAATTCTGACGAGCTGCAAAGTCAATATTGGGAATGATTTCCTCACCGAAACAGCCTGAAAGCTCCCAGACTGTTCTTTCCTTCGGAGGTCTTCAGGAAAAAGTCCACCAGGCCTCTCGAGTCCCTCCATCAGACCCATCGGCACTGATTTTAAGTTCACTTCTTGTGCTATTTGACATAGCTGTTTTTCTAAAAGTCGCAACGCAGGTCGTGCTGAGAAGTTTTTGAGAAGCGAACGGGCCTTTGAGAACAACTGCTAATGCGAAATCTATCAACGCTAAGTCGCTTTACGAATGAAAAAAGAAAAACACAGCTAAATCTTTCCGGAATGGTCAGGTAAAGAAGGCAGTCAGTGTACTAAGAAAAAAAAAAAAAAACTTTGGAAACTATCTCAGTTCCACTTCAAAAGATTGTGAGAAAATCTCGCTCAATGGAAGAAAAACAGACAGAAATGAGGTGTGGATCAGGGCCTTTGGTAGAGTGGCGTGAGGCGGGATTTCATGAGGAGGGGGATGTGATGGGGGCAGATGTTTGCACTGCGCGCGCACGCACGCACGCACGCACGCACGCACGCACACACACACACACACACACACACACACACACACACACACACACACACACACACACACACACACACACACACACACACACACACACACACACACACACACACACACACACACACACACACACACACACACACAGGCGACAGATCGGCAAAGATAGACAGAGGTGCATCTTTCAGAGGAGGAAGGTGTGTGTCTGAGTGTGTGTGTGTCCCCTCTCTGCCTCCCCCCCCTCCCTCAGTCTTTGCCACATCCCTCCTTCTTCCTCTCACGCACGGCTCGGACACGTGCACACCAACAACTCCCCCCTAAAATAAAAAAAACACAATAAGCCAGGCTTTTATTATTCTATGCTAATCGGTGAACGGATGCGCCGGTGTTTTTCCGTCCTATTAGATTGCGTTACACGCGCTAATCAAGACTGATACCGCGTATTAGGCTGAGTAATTAATAAATAAAGCAAATCTGCCAGGAATCAAAAATCAAACCCAGAGTTGCTTCGGCGGGCTCTCCATAGTCCGAGCTGTTTGTTTTTGTTTGTTAAACAGTGGCGGTCCCTGAGGACAGAAAGGGGGGTTTGGGGGTGGGGAGGGGGGGGGTGGCACCTCCCTATCCCAGGATTACATTAATCAAAGTAT